TAAATAATCCCACCACAAAAATAAGGGAACAATAGCTTCAGATGACTCCTTGCAATGGCTAATTCACTCTGTTCTTTGCTAAGTCTCTTCTGTCTTGGAGATATTCTACCCCTTTGTGTTGCCACTACCGCAGATGAAGATGACTTTTCAGGGACAGCATGTAGAAATAACTCGTAAGTCCTAACTTTGGTTTTATGGTTAACTTACTGAAATTGTTCTATTGCAGTTTCCTTTTGTAAATTGTTAAAATTCTGCAAGCTTGATACTTGTTTTACAATGACAGCCATAAATAGGCAGAGTATCATGACCTCATCAATAAACAAATGCAAGTGGAAGCATATTCCTTTTTCCCCAAAGAACTTTTTAATGAGAGCTTTGTAACAGGAGCTTTGTAAACAGAAACATAAACGGTAACAGAGGGTCTTTTTAGAGCAACATTTGTCTTCGCTAACACAGAAGACCTTAAAAAAGTAGGTGCAACTCCTCTATAAAAAATAAAAATAAAAAACCTGTTTGGAATTTTAACTTTCAACATCTAGCTCATTCAAAAGGTAGATGAACAGTAATGCGGCTCTGTTCCCGTTACAAAATGTAGTCATTTAAATATCACAATGTAAGAAAAAATTTGTATCTGATAGATATAGTCATAGTTACCACAAAAAAATACCTGTGTGGATTTATGCTGTGGGTGTATCTTTTTCTCTCTTTAGTTGACAACATGTGACAGCTATAAACCATGCTTGCCAACATTTGAGCTCTCCAAGAAGGCTGGACCTTGAAATTTGTCAGCCGCAAAGAATTTTCCAAAGCGACAGTGTGAAAGCAATTATTTCACTGAAAACAAAGTCTGTCTCGCAAACGGGCACAACGAGCATGTCCATCGTGGTGTAACGGACTAGCCAATGCGTGTACATGATCACAGTCATTGCTGAACTGCCCAGATCTTTTATCATGCTTTTAATAACTCACGGAAGAGTTAATTAACTCACACGCCGACCGAGAATCATTGGAGTGAGTCAAGGGTGGCCACAGCTTAGCTGGACTCCAAAGGAGGCACTGGCTAAGTTAGGCCGGGATGACCATTTTCGATCCCGCTAAAACCTAAGCTGCCCAGGAGATCAGCAGGGCTTCAGCCCACCGCCTGGGGTGCGTGCTGCAGCAGGGCTACTGAAATACACGCCGCTGAACGTCCCGTTGAGTCTTTTCCAAGTCCTTGTCCATAGAGTTATAGGGAGGGCTGCAACAGATACGCTGCTTTCCGTAGGAGTCTGATCTTGGTGCCCATTCGGACTTGCCGAGACAAAATTAAACGTGCAAAATGTATGTGTGAAGGGTGCGGGATCATTTACTGCTTTCCGTTCGGAGGTGGCAAACAGGAACACAAATGGCAACAGGATGTCTTTACAGAGCAAAATTCGTCCAGGCTAGTACGTAAGTGACCTCAAACAGCAGATTTTGACAGGAAGACGACCTGAACAGAAGAGGCTGTAGGAGAGCAGGAGGACGGAGGAGGCAGATGACACTCTTTAAGACTTGATTCCCGCTTTTGTCGCTGCCGACTAGTTTGCTGTGAATCTTTACAGCCCTGCAAAGCGGTCGCGTGTCTCCAGTGCCATACGGAGGGCTCGGGCAGCCTTGCTCGGCTCAGAAGGGAGGTGGCGAGGGGACACCCCC